AGGGTGACATGTCAATTAAAAATAATAGCACGAATAAAAATTAATAGTCTATTAATTTATCTAATATGAAAAAAATTCAAAATTCCCTCTCCAAAAAAAAAAAAATCAGGTTTAAAAACGCCACTATTATTTATACTGGATTTTTGATACATGCTGTATAAATATAATATATAATTTTAAAAGGTATAGCTACAAAATCAGCATTTRAATATTTATATTTGAGTATACTTTACAAGACTGATACAGTTTTATTGTATTATTATTTGTGCACTGCAATATATTATAAATTACGACGATATTATTTTGGTCGTATTCGTATGAATTAATAAATAAATAAATACATAATACAATATTATAAATAGGTGTACGCAAATATTATAATAATGTAAAACCGCAGTGTTGCGCACGGGCGAACTGAACAGACGGTGTGACCGGTTGACGGCGGCGATGACAGCGACGGCGACGACGATGACGCCGTGAGTGACAGGACCCGCCAACAGCTGCAGCAGCAACAGAAACAGCGAGATAGAGTGATATGTCGTCGTCGTCGGGTGAGCCGCAAAAAAGCCGACGGGTGTCGAGTAACCTGTGCCGGAGCGCGTCCGCGTCCCTCGGCCACTTGGACAGGCGCCGCGGCGACGGCAGTGGCACGATGACAGCCGGTGGCTGCGACGACGGCTGCGGCGGCAACGCGTCGTCCGTCGGCGGCCGCGACGAYGACGATTACGGCCACGGAGACCACCACGATTTCGGCCATGAAGGCCACGGTGGGTGCGACGGCGGGTCCGCATCAGGAGGCGGCCACGTTCTCCGCCGTCACCAGTCCGAGTTCGGGTCACTGAACTGCCTGCACAACAGGCCTCGCACGCTCATGGAGTCGCTGCTCATCGCTAAAATGGAGCGGGCCTCGCTCAACGGCGGCGGTGGTCACCAGTACGGATCGCACCCGTCGCTGGTGCGCACCGACTCGATCGGCTCGACCAGTTCTCTGGACTCAATGTCGTCGATGAGCAGCGACCTTTGTCGGTGCGACGACTGTCTGCTGGGCATCTCCGACCTGCTGTACATCAACACTTCCGGGTACGAGGGACGCCGCAGAAAGGTACGCCATATTAGCTCATATACATAAAAATAATATTAAACATATTATATAGCAGTTGACGTATCTATATTATATATATAATTTATTTATCGTATAACTATAATACTACTGTAACTGTGATGACAAAGGGGGGGGGGCAAGGATTCAACGATCTCCCTCTAAAAGTTTTTCCGTGGCTGGGGTTGGGATGCAAAGGTAAAAGTATCATTTTGTCTCATCTACATTTATTTCATCAGTAGAAATCTAGTATAGCTAGGTAATCGTCTAAAACAAAGAATGATGCATATTATTTATAACGTCGCAAGATAAAAATATATTTTCACTCAAATTATTGCATACAAGTACAAGACGCACAATATTATAAGTTGACGCATTTTCTACATAATAGGATTATCTGGGCTACTGTAAGCTATACGATGTTTGTTTTGACGAATGTCTTATTATGTGGTATAGATTTTAGTGGCATGTAGTCAAACGTAAATACCTATCTGGATTTCTCGTTAAGCTAAATACCCTTAAAATTACAAATTAACTGCAGTAATATGATATCGATATAAAACTATAGGTTTTTAGTCAATTTTGTGATTCGAAATGACYAGAATATTATACTGTATAATATTATTGTAGCGTGTATAAAGTAGTTGTAGTAATATAACTTGGATTCAGCGTGCTGACRATAAGTCGATAACAGACTAAAGACAGTGCTGTGTAGTGTGTTATGATGAGTGATCGCAGTTAGTACGTTATATTAATCTATAGCGCGTAAATTTGATGGTATACCTACATTGTATACTTATTATTATTATTAAATACATACACAGTAAAAGTCGTTTTGTTTGTTGTGTGATATACGATCGACACGACTGATTATACATCATATACGCTGATTTTATAACAGGAATATATAATTTTAATTAATAYACTAGTTTTTAAGTATAATATCGTATATTATACGAGAATAAGTTAAACGTAACATGTATGTTTTATGGCTTGGTTTAATATCATATATATAATATATGATAGATAGATAGATAGATAGATAGATAGATACTTGAATATAATAAACCGTTTAAAAAAATTCAAACAATTAGTCAAATATTTTACCGAAAATAACATCTCTTACGCTATACAAGTGATACAAGTAAAGTCGTTGTGTGTATTTATAGTTAAAATTAAAATACTATGCATGATTCTCGTTTCACTGATTTATCGATTTCGAATAAAATAGGTAGGTATGAGTATTTATTTAGTGGGTTGAAATATTAATYTATTCGACCCAACGGGCTCACGGAAGTTTCGCTTGTTTATTTTAATTTAATAACATGTTAATGCAATGCATCGAAAACTGTTACTAAGCAGAGAGTTATACTTTTTTCGTATATGAATAAATAACAATAATAATAATAATAATCATTCWCTCGGCTAGTTTATATATTCAAAAGAATCGAATTCGTTGCGAAATCATCACACCGATACCACGTCAGACGTCTGCAGTATACGTTGTGTGGCTAATAAATAACGAGATTTTCTCTTTAAAAACTTTTTATTTATATTTTTTAATGGTTTAACATTTTTCCCCTTCTATATACTCCCCTCCACGTTTGACACATCGCTCCATTCTAATTTTCCATTGGTTGAAACAGTGTTGGAAATCCTTTTCTTGCAATGTCTTTAACACCTCTGCCGCTTTTGTTTTTACAGCTTCAACTGACTCAAAATGTGTGCCTTTTAACGCACTTTTTAGTTTTGGAAAAAGCCAAAAGTCGCATGGAGCGAGATCTGGTGAATATGGGGGGTGTTGATGCACTRGAGTTCGATTTTTAGCTAGAAATCGCTTTACAGATAAGGCACTGTGAGCACCATTTTAGCGCAGACTTTTGTCATGTTTAATTCATCGTGCAAAATTTGTCTAACGGTCTCCTTGACGATATTAACCATCTCAGCTATCATTTGAATACTCAGACGTCGATATTTTCGCACAATTTCATTGATTTTTGAAATGTTATCGTTAGTTTTTGAGCAGCATGGACGACCCACCCGTTGATAGTCTTCAACTTCTTCACGACCCTCACGAAATCGTTTGTGCCACTCAAAAACACGTGGTCGTGATAGGACACTATCTCCATATACTTCAGTTAATAAATTGAAACTTTCGGTCGCAGATTTTCCAAGTTTCATTAAAATTTTTTAATTAATACCGTTGTTCAATTTTTYCATCCGGCATGATTTCGAAATTCAACACGTAAGAGGTCAATTTACACGACGCTTACACACAGACTACAAAACGGAAACTGACTAAACTGGTATTGTTCGATACAGTGATATTCATAGATTACAATTATAGTACCATTATACCCTTATCTACTCTTGCCTTATCGCCAAGTAGATAGTCTCGTTATTTAATAGCCACACAACGTATATAGGTTTCTATGTCATATCGTCTTCATTACTATTCGATTTTAGTTTTATTAAAATTTCAAAATTTAAACGATATTAAAATGTTCTAAGATTGGATAATTTGTTTAGGGAGTTTTTGGTTCTAGTGGCATATACGAGTACGCCGTGTACCTATCGCGAATAGGCTCTGTGCATATAGATATTTAAAATAACTTAGCTGGACAAAATATATTACGTCGCTCCAACACACGCAAATTATGATTTTCATTTATTTTCGTATTTCTATATAATATTATGTAATCCACGACGTTCGCTTACAACGAGTTTTTGAAAACAACGATTTATCTTCCATTACAAAATATGCGATTTTCAACACTGTTATAAATTATATACGTATCATAATATTATAGTCTTTCGCGGYCGTGTCATGTAAGTTCCAACGACGAAAGCTTTTACTGATACACAGTACAAAAGCCTTAATATAATATGATGTATTATACAATTACGACATGTTGAGCATACCGATAATTCATTATCCCATATTTCTATATTATACACGTCACATCTCGTCAGTTTATAATAGTATTATAATGGTTCCTAAAATGTTTTACGCTCAATGAATTATGAATAAATCATGTGTACAATGCGTCGTGTGTAACTAGATAATTATACCGAATGATTTATGCAGTTTAAAACTCTGTAAATATATACTACCTATATTGTATTACGTCTTAAACTTCGAAATGAATTATATTATAAAAATGAACTCATACTATACCTTAGAAATGTTTAGTTATTTTTTTTTTTAGTAAATCCGTTTTAATAAATCATTGGCAAATTATTGCGAAGTGGAAGATCTATCCAAACAAACCGTAATTGTAATAAAAATGTAACTATTTAATTTATATACCTACTCGTGATTTCCTCAACCGTACARTTTTAATAGTTTTTAGAAATTGTATTGGTTCTTTGTGCACGTGTCCAAAAACAACCAATGCTGAAAATATGTTTAAAATGTGTTAGGTAAACGCGTTTTCTGTTTGAAAATGTGTTTGATATAATATGCACAAATGGAGTATAACATATAGTTTAGTAAGCGCATAATGTGAACAATAAGTGAACAATAACGATCTTGAACTTTGAACTGTCGATACGATATCAATGATCCACATGAATATATCTATAAATGTATATTATTCATTATTGTTTTACTTTGCGTCAACTCCTACCGAGGTTAAGACGTAAATACTAGCAAAACAAATGTTTACAAATAGCATCGAATCAATAACTCCATACTGCAGTTATTTATAGGATATTTATAACACGTACCTATAAAAAACAAAATCATTTTGGCGAGAGATACTTACTTTAATAATTATGTGATCGGTTGATTATACATAGTAATAATATGCATAATCAATGGTCACACTGAATTAATATGTTCAGAATAATAAGATGTCTGTTTTCCAAAATGTTCGAAACCACGATCAACGATGATATTCATGCTTCCTTCCAGTATTGAGTATTCAGCTGTAATCACTCATTTCGAATATAAAAATATTATGATTTGAAAAATGTTAAACATTTAAACGATATTATTATTACTTTAGTTGAATGTAAAAGCGAAACAATTATTCACGCCCCTGACGACGCGACGACACGCAATTAATCGTACATAACTGTGTATGTGTGTGTGTGTGTGTGTGTGTGTGTGTGATAAGCCCTGTTCAAGATGAACAAATCTCGTCGGACAGACGTTCACATTCGAGGTGTAATATTATTAATATTATTATTGTTACTTATTGTTAATACCTATTATGATTATGCATACTGCGACTGTGAGGTGTCGAAATCGGAAGGCGTTTTATCAGAAATGTTGACTCGTTTGGTTTGCAATAAAATATACAATATTATTATAAGTATTACGTGGCATACAATTGAACGGTCCTTTCGAACGAACGGAAAAAAAAATTAATAAGATGTTTTAATGTATACCAGAATAATAACTTAAAATACCCGTATCCGTGGACAATTTATACGAATTTATGCGAGTCTAATAATATGGTGCGTTGCGATCATCTGTGTCTCGGCCGCCGCCAGTGCGTAATTCATTGAGATTTTGATCGCGAGGAACAAAAAAAAACTGTTTGTTTGGCCTCCACACCGTCAATATATAATATCATTAAGATGCGTGGCGGTAATGTTTATCTAAAAACCAACGATTGTCGACGTTTGCCCGGCGTTGTGAACCCGTTAATAAAAAGAACGTCGAAAAAACGTATTTTTTTTTACCTACGTATTATAACGTAAGAATAAAAAAAGAGACAACGTATAATATAATATATCAATATATTATTAATATCTGGTACGATTAAACGCGCAGCGGCTGACGTTCGAATTAAAGAGCAGCGCGATGGACAAAAAATAACACTCTGATTGTGTGATGAATAATTTAGTATCGTGTGTTCGGTAAAAAATTGTTTCCGATCAATAAAAAATATTAATATATTAATATGTAATAATAAAAAAACGTAAAAGGAGCGGTGGCGTACCACGGTTGGAGGCAAAATTGGTACACGCCGCTTCGATATTTCGTGTATGCG